AATTAAAAACATCTTTTTAAAAAAAGTAGTAAGAGCTTGAAATTTTGTGGTTGATTTTAGCTTGTATGCACTGTACTTCGGCTTAAGACGATTTTTTGTCTTAACGAATTTAACCAACTACTTTTTTTTTATCGTTGTTCGATAAATCCAGTGAAATGTATTATAGAATTCCTTTACAATAGAATAATAAATTACTGGAAATCCAAAATTGAAATCTCTACAATTTTTAGAATAAAGCTAACACATGTATAGCCTATATTTCATTTTGCAAATTAAATCTAAAATATAAATTCTCATTTTTATGCTAAAAATATTTATCAATAAATTGATATAGTATGAGAATAACAATGACCCCTAAAAAAGAAATCGAAGCATGGAATTATTGAACACCTTAAAAGACAGTGATGGAGTTCGGGCAAAAGTATGAAATCGAAGGTTCTGCCTTTCTCTTTTGTATATTCAAATGCCACTGGGAATTGCCAAACATTTGAATGGTAAAGAAATATTTACGCGTTTGTTTGGAGGATGGTCGGTTTGAGTTTGAGAAGTTGAACGTTTTATGTACTTTTTGTAACGTATTTTTCTTTGACTTCCCCTTGTCGCTATTATTTTAAACCCATCTTTATTTCTTATGCTGTTAAATCGATAAAGGTGAGTATTACCCAGACATAAAAAGCGAAAGCTAATAACTTTTTGATAGTTACAGTTTCTTGTTATTTTCGATAATAAAAAAATTTATTTGAGATTCAACCTTCGTTTTTAAGTCTAACTTGATCAGATTTTTCTAAATTTAAAATCACACCACCATTTTCAATTCTAACATCCACATCATTATTTTCATTATTTTTCAATAACTTGTCTATAAATATCACCAATCTTTGTTTTTATTGGCTAATAATGTATATCAACTTCCAGATATAGGGTTGGCGAAAGCCTGGTGGATCCGGTGAGCTGTCCGAGAAACAAGCCAATAAGAATGCGTAAATTTTTGATCAACCCCGGGGGGGTGTGGCTAAAGCCTGGTGGACATGTGATACGTGTTTAGAGCTAGAGTGGAGGACTAGAGTATATGTAATTGCCTCCCCGACGTTTTTAATTGGTGCTCCAAGATGATTAAAGCATACATTTTCCATATTTTCATTTTTTACGTTCGTGCTTCGGATTTGTTTTTCTGGCTTGGGACACTACATCACGATTACGCGAGTCAAATGATCACTGTCAATCCGGAGGAAGTAGCTTGGCAGTTATTAAGGCAAGGCGAAGTTGGAGGGAGCGATTTTGGCAAAACAGCGAAGCCAGCCGAGATGGTTCTGCAGTCGAAACACAAAGCCCTGCAGCTTTCTAGCAGGGGCCTACAGGCTAACTGCTTTCGCTTTTTCGTCCTAGCCGCTCTAGCCCAAATTCAATTTTTCTGGACAAAACTGGTCGGAGCTTTCCAGATAAACAGATGCAATTGGTACCAGAAGCGCGCACTTTCCTGCTGTAAGAACGCTAGCCAGTTACTGTATCCACTGGCTGGAAACCTTGCTGGCATTTAGTGTTTAGAGGCGGCACCCAGAAGCAAAATCCGAAAGCAAATAACTCAAAAAACGCACTTCTCATTCCCGACACGAACGTTCCTAATTCTCACCCCTTTTGCTTACCCTGTAGAAGCTGTTTTGCTTAAACTCTTAGCAAAGATTAAAAGCAAAGGCAAAATTTATTCGAAAAGAAGCTAACTGCTGTATTACCTGCTGCTGGAAGAAAGCTCTTTGTATATATATAAAAAAAGTTACTTTAAAGCACATAAAGAACGGAGAAACTAAAACAAACATCAACATGTTTGCAGATTTACCAGAAAAATGTTAAATTATAATTTAACGTTATGCAAACTTACCAAATTGAGATCCTGCGAATAATCATCACCATTCACATTTAAACGTAAAACAAGAGTTTAACTTAAAAATTCATGTTTTCGCGCTATTTATTTAGTCATTTTCATTCATTCCCCTAGATTTTTTTTTCTTTTATTTATTAATTGTTTGTATCAATCTAAAAAATGTCTACTGCATTTAACACAAAAGTACATTTACCCGATAGTGGAGGCGAAAATGCAAGTAAATTATCTGAAACGAGACATGAAAAAACTAATACGGGCGAAAGAGCTTCTTTATTGCTTAAACGTGACCATGTTTCTGTGAAAAGTTTTGATTTTTTTGAGGCAAGCACGCGTAGATTCTAACATTTCATATGTAGTTTCTACACTCTAAATTTGTATCGTTTATGGCTAACAGTAAATGTATCATATTTTTAACATAAAAATACCTTAAATGTCTATTTCGCGTTACTTTCATTCTAGCTTCATAAGCGCAAAATTTGGCTAGGATTCGTGTGCTTAGTAGCTATTCTGGGGTTGTACTTGTTAATCACAGAAGAGACTTTGAACCAATATCCGGATACAAGTGAAGAATTACCACTGTCATTTTCTTCATTGTCAAAGACGCCATATTATTATCCGCCCACTTTAAATAATGGCACGTATGACTTTAATTCGACAGTTATTCTGATCTCGTTTGATGGATTTAGAGCAGATTATTTGGAGAGAAAACTTACACCCGTGCTGAGGAAATTTAGTGAGTTTTATTCTTACGTTTTGTTTTTGTTTTGTTTTTGAATTCGAGAATAATCTTATGTTGTAATCAATAGTACACGATGGAATTAGAGCGGAATATATGATTCCCTCATTTCCGGTTTGTAAATTTCTCTACTACTCGGTATTGATTGGACAAAATATTATATTTGAATTAACGTGTATTTATTCTCTCCAGTCAGTTACCTTTCCCAATCATCACACAATCATCACGGGTCTTTATCCCGAATCACATGGAATGGTGGGAAATGAGTTCTTCGATCCAGAACTAAAAGATTCATTTTGCTACAGCGATCCGGAAAAATACCGAGATCCAAAGTGGTGGGACGGAGAACCGGTTATTGTTATTTTTTATTATAAAAATCGACATTTTTTATGTTTTTATATTCAAAATATTAAATAAAAATAGCTTTGGGTCACTGCCGAAAAACAAGATCGGAAATCCGGGATGATGATGTGGGCAGGTTCTGAGGCCAAGATCAAAGGCTATCAACCAACCTATCTTGTGCCACATGACAACAAAGTCACGCCGAAAGATAAAGTGGCTAAAGTAATGGAATGGTTAGATCTTCCAATCGAAGAAAGACCTACATTTATTGCCGTTTATGAAGGTCAGCTAGATTCGGCAGGTCATAAGTACGGCCCATATTCAAAGCAATTAGACGACGCGTTGAAGTCGGTTGACGATATGGTATTGGATTTGTTGAATGGTTTAGCTATGCGAAATTTAACAGATATTGTTAATGTCATCATAGTAAGTTTTGTTTTTTTTAAGTACTTTGATTTGATGTAAAAAGATCATATTGTTAATTAACAACAACAACGAAAGGTAAGCGATCATGGTATGTCATCAACTAATGCCAAAAACCTAGTATTACTCGATGACTTTATCGACACATCACTAATACATCCACTCGAAGGATTTCCACTGGGCGGTATACGCCCATACAACGGCAACGATATTCACGAAATTTACGCGACACTACAAAAAGCTAGTCACGATAAAAACTGGAATTGTTATCTACGTCATCAAATTCCTGAGAGATTCAATTTCCGTGCCTCGAAACGTATTAGTCCTATCTTGTGTATTCCAACACACGGATGGGCGTTTTCCACCAGGCGTGATTTTGCTTTGGATGCTGTTCCACTAGGATTGCATGGTTACGATAACTTAATTCATGATATGCAAGCCATTTTCTTGGCACGTGGGCCTGCATTCAAACACCTTACGCGGGAAAATAGTACTAATGAAAATAACAATAACAATAATAGATTTAGATTTAGAAACAGTGACAAGTCACTATCTCGCACTATTGAACCTTTCCGAAATGTAGAAGTGTATAATATTATCGCAAAGATTCTTGGATTGGTACCTGCTGTGAATAATGGGACATTTGGTGGGATCATTTGATTATTTTGTGGGGTGGGGTGTGACTATAATATAATATAGTATATATATATACATGTATATATATATATATATATATATTGTGTAATCATCTATCAAAAGTGATGGGTCGTGTGTCAAACTAAACAGCTGACCAAATGCAGGTAATTTACATGTGATGATTTGATTGACAAATTATCTTATCTAGATAAAATTCTGACAATCTAAAATTAATTGATTTCGTTCGTTTTGTCAAATATAGCAAAATGAAAGATGCATATGATTAATTTTCTAGATCTTCATTGTTTTGGCTTTTATAAACATCACCTGTCAAATTCAAATTCAGAAAATAGAATTTACTTGAACATTAATAAACTCAATATGTGGAGTATTTTGACAAGGAAGAGATTAGCATATACAAGTTTAGCCTCTTTAGCCACTGGTGGTATCTCCTATTACCAATATTCAAGTTCAGCGCGTAAAAGACGTGACGAACAACAACACTTAATACGCACATATCTATCGAGACTTGCACCCGAGTTTCTAATAACAGAAGTGAATGCAGACGCGGGTAATAATAATAGTTTTGCATATCTAGAAAGCACCTACGATAGACCACACACTTTATGGACTCCACCGTCACGAAAGGAAATAATAAGCTTACTCCAAGGAAAAAGTAAGGACGGTACGCCAATAGCACATAATAAAGATGAATCACCACCGTTTGACTTGTTAATTGTTGGGGGTGGTGCTACGGGAACAGGAGCAGCTCTCGACGCTGCGACGAGAGGATTAAAAGTTGCGTTGGTGGAACGAGACGATTTTGCAGCAGGTACCTCGTCACGGTCTACGAAGTTGGTGCATGGTGGTGTGAGATATCTCGAGAAAGCTTTTTGGGAACTTGATTATGAACAATACAAATTGGTCCGAGAAGCATTGCACGAACGTGCTACTTTCTTACACATCGCTCCCCATCTAAGTATACATTTACCGATTATGCTGCCAATTTACAAGTACGATTATTATACACAGCCATAAAATAAGCGAAAATGTCTCTCTCTCTCTCTCTCGTGTGATTGATTGTAAAATCATTTGCGAAATTATTTATTGCTCTATTTGTTTTCGCTTAATGGTTTTCTATGCGCGTGTTTTTTGTGGAATTATAACACATCCTAATGCAGAGTTTTTTTTTTGCTACGTGTTAATGTACTACTTTCAGATGGTGGCAACTCGGTTATTATTGGGTCGGCTCAAAAGCATATAGTTTTCTTGCAGGCAAAGAGAATGTTGAAAGTTCATATTTTTTGACGCGTAGTAAAGCGCTCGAAGCTTTTCCTATGTTGAAGAAGGATAAACTTGTTGGAGCAATGATTTACTATGATGGTATGGAAATTTCACATATTCAGGATTCAATGTCTTTTGTATTTACGTGTGGATGCGTTTTATAGGTCAGCATAACGATGCTCGCATGAACGTGGCAATTGCATTGACAGCGATTGCTAGTGGAGCAGTCATAGCTAATCATACAGAAGTAATAGAACTATTAAAAGATAAAAATGGCATTGTAAACGGAGCTCGAGTAAGAGATACACTAACAGGTGATGAATGGGATGTGAAAGCTAAAGGTGTAATAAATGCTACTGGTCCATTTACAGGTAAAAAATCACGCGTTTTTTTGCTCTTGTATCTTTCACCAAATTCCTCATAGCTATATATGTATAATAACATCAACATGTAGATGCACTTCGCTTCATGGATAATCCAAAAACAGAAAACATAGTAGCTCCTTCTTCAGGTGTTCATGTAGTATTACCAAACTATTATAGTCCCGGAAATATGGGTTTAGTGGATCCAGCAACTTCTGATGGTCGAGTTATTTTCTTCTTGCCATGGCAAGGGAATACGATTGCCGGCACAACTGATTCACCGACAGAAGTCACCTATAACCCAATGCCAAAAGAGGAAGAAGTGCAATGGATATTGGATGAAATCAGACGATACCTAAGTCTTGGTATTCTTTTTATTTGATAGAATAAATTATTGTTTCTGATCTCCTTCATTAATTATTTTTCTATTATATATAAAATAGAAATTAAAGTTCGACGTGGAGATGTTCTTGCTGCTTGGTCGGGAATTCGGCCTCTCGTTCGTGACCCGTCAGCCAAAAATTCTGCTGATTTAGTGCGAAACCATATGATCCATGTTAGCGATTCCAAACTAATTACTGTTGCAGGTGGCAAATGGACAACTTATCGTGCAATGGCTGAAGAAGCAATCGATAAAGCTATTGAAGTATTTGGTGAGGATTATTTTTGTATTTATTACATTTCAAATAAATGATCATCATACGACTTATTTTATTTATGATTCCTTCATTAGAATTGAAACCGCATAATCCGTGTATTACTCGTCATGTTAAACTTATAGGATCTCATGGATACTCGAAGACCATGTTCATTAAACTTATTCAGCAATTTGGTCTGGAGACGGAGGTAATTCCGTTCATTCTTCTATATATTGTAAATAATTGTGGGTGTTTAGTTAAGATATTTAAAAGTATGTTTAATGCATATATAGATTGCTCAACACTTGACAAATAGTTATGGAGATCGTGCTTGGGCAGTTGCAGCATTGGCGCAACCTACGGGAAAACGTTGGCCTGTATTCGGGAAGAGATTGAGCCCATTCTATCCATATGTCGACTCGGAAGTTCGATACGCTGTTCGTAGAGAATATGCTTGCACGCTAGTGGTAAATGCTTTTTACTTTGTTTTTCCTTTATAATAGGCCCGCATTTCCAAGCATTTTTTATATATTCTAGGATGTAATTGCACGTCGTACTCGACTGGCCTTCTTAAATGCCCAAGCGGCACTCGATTCATTACCACTAATCGTTGATATCATGACTGAAGAACTAGGATGGTCAGAACAACGTCAATCAAAAGAATACGAACAAGCCATTGACTTCCTATTAACGATGGGTCTTCCACCACCCAAAGAAAAACTTACACTAGATAAAGCCAAAACCGCATTACAAGCCGGTCAACGACCCGAGCATCACGCATTCTACTCGCGATCTCGATTCCAACCAGAAGAGCTGGCCAGTTTCCAAAAAATATACGCGGACTTAGATGTCAAAGGGGACGGGTATATTCAAGTTGATGATATTGCGGAAATTCTCGGACTCCTTGGATATTCGGTTCACGTGAATGATGTGAATGCAATACTAGACGGAATGAAATTGGATCGTGCTGGGGCTATTGAATTTGAAGAGTTCTTGGAGGTGATGAGTGGGATTAAGGAGATTCAGTTGCAAACTAGTTATGCAAAAATGCTTGATCAACCTAGGATCCCGATTGAAAGAGCTTCAGGGGGAATATAGTTATATATACACACCGATCTATTACGTTAAATATACATAACGAGTACCTATTTCTTTTTCTTGTTTAATATTATACCTTGCGCATATACCCATCGTAAACATCTCGAAAAACATTGGATTCTAGTTACCATTATTCTTTTTATACCATTATCATTATTTTGACAATTTTCTGTTTTTCAATAATATAAAATAATTAGACAGATTGTTTTGTTGTCTTCTTTAGAAGTTGAAGTTCACACTAATATATAGTTAACTATTTATTTATCGTATTTTTTTTCGGAATAAAATTAATGATAATCGTTCTAACCATATAAAGTAAGACCAAATTATTATTTACACAGTTTCTAAGTTTTTCATTATCTATAATCGCCAATCACGTGACAAATATTCATGAACTTGAAATGTCTAAATCTTTTTATAGAAGTGTTATATTAAAAATCTGATTGATGACTTTGTAAAGCTTAATATATGTAATACTTCTATAAAAAGTTTTAGAGATTTAAAATTCACATAATTCTATAATTTTATAATTTTAATTTTATAATTTATATCAAAAAATATTCAATATAAATATAAAATAAAATAAAAAGTCTAAAAAATTATCAATTAATTATTATAAAAATCTAGCTAGTCAATAAATTATCTTTTGTTTATTGTTAATAAAATTTGTATATTAATTAATTAATTTATAATTATTATTTACTAATATATTTACATTAATTTTGTACTATTAGATATTAAACAAATTGCTAAAACTATATTATTTTAGAATTATTTTATACTAAGTAAATATATCATCTATTAATAATATTGTTAACTTATTTATAATGCAAAAAGTCTAAAGATATTAAATTATTTAAGTAATTTTTAAAATGTTACTACTTTTTTATTGAAAATTTTATGTATTTTTTATCGAAAAAATATAATTTTAAATAATATATATTTTAAAAAATTTCAGTATTAATATAAAAAAATAATAATTTTTTATAAAAAATTTTTTTAATATAAAAAAATAATAAAATCTAATCAATAATATTCAATATTATAGTAAATGATCTGCAAAATTTTCAGCACCTTGATATCTTTAGACTTTTTGTATTATATCAAATATAGTATTATTATCATTTTGAAATACTCAAAGATATTTATAAAATATTCAAAGAGAACTTTCAATATTTTAATAATAATTTAAAGTATTAATAATTCTTTAATTATACATATAATATTAATTAAAAATATTAAATATAAATATAGTTGATCTTATAGCAATAAAAAAAAGTTGTAATTAATTAGATCCAATACATAATAAATAAAATGTCTTTAATAAAATATCTATTACTTGATTGTCTTTATTAAATCTTATAAATAAACAAATTAATTATATGTAATTACATTATTATATTTGCACAACTGGATATTTAATCAGATTGTTATAGAATATCAATACTGTATTATTATAGAATTGTCCCACAATAAGTAAATAACAGAATTTATTAGTAGTAGTGATAATCTATCTTGATGATAAAAGAAAATATATTTATTGTGCACAGATTTTGAGGTTACATGACTTATTATAGATTAATTTATAAAAGATATAATTAATAGTTATGATTAAAAACAAGTCATAATTAATAATAAACATCAAGAAGAGCTCTAAAAATCAAATTGTAACAATGTGATAACTAGTTATAAAATAATAATTAAGAATATTAATATCAAAGATTTGTTCTAATCTAATTCTAATAATTATAATACTGTTACTGTTTTGATAGAACTTTCGAAATACTCAAAGGTATTTATAAAATTTAAGGAATATTCAAAGGGAAACTTCCAATGTCTTAACGACAATTC